CTGAAAGATAAAATAATCTCAGTGGGGCTCACTTCTTATCTGTTGAAAAAAGTAAAAAATAAAAGCACAATAAACTTTTTCTTTTTGACTTTTAATGATATGCAGTGATTACAATCTGTTGGCTATAAAACATTTCTTCCTTTTCTTTTCAAATTCTGACTGTTTTTATCAAAAGCTAAAGTGATTCCTGTGTTTTTGTTGGTTTGTGTGTAAGTTCATTTATCTGTAGGTTTAACACAATATCGCACAAACCAGTGGACAGATTTTAACGAAACACCCAGAAAGTAGGCATTGGATGTTCCCCTCCAGCTGATTCACTTTTAAAGCCAACCCCATTAAAGATGTCCGCCACAGCTCACCTTAGCAAACACAGAAATGGCTATAACTCAGTTTCACATTGGCGATGAAGTTACAGTAAGGAGGAATTCAAAGTAAAGCACTGAAGTCGCACTTTATATAGACCCCAACTGAACGGTTTCAATGTGAAAAAGTAAAAAAAAAAAGCATCATATGTCTCCTTTAAATCTGTGCAGGTTATTTCTATTCCTTCAAGGAATACTGGGATTTATATTTGCCAAATTATTGTACCACTTGGTGAAATTGAATTTAAACATTCATTACAAGAATGTAATTAAAACTCCTACCTGTTTTATTTAAACAACCTCAGACAGTGTTTGATTCTACAAGTAGAATTCAAAATGGCACCGAGTCAAAAGAGACTGCGCTCTTTGAAATAAGGAAGAGATGCATGAATGGAGGGAGGTTAGACATTGTGGGGGGGTGGAAGTCTCAAAAGAGCGACTCAAAGCTTCTGTAAATCGCAACTCTGCGGCCTTTTGGTTCGTAAACAGAGGGTTATTTGAACCTGCAGGTTGACAGTGATCAAGTGCTGAAGAAAAAAATTTCTTCTCAACCGGAATGACTTCTGAGGGATGTCAGGGGGTGTTTTACAGCTGTGGAAGACCCTGAGCAGGTCACATTTAAACCAGGACAGAAGGCCTGTTAGATGCTGCTGCTGCTGATGGAGTGTGTTGTGGCTGAGAATGAGCTTCACTCATGTCACCTCCAGTCCATTTTCCTTACTGCTACTCATCTGACCTCCCGTAAATAAATCCATGCAGGACCCACATACATATCCCCACCTCCTTTCCCTCTGTCTTAGTTACATGCATGCATGCACACACACATTTCTTCAGGTCATCTTGGAAGTGACACTCGAGGTAGTGGGCTTTGACAGGAAATCCATAGAGCTAACCGATGAGCGCTCTTTTGTTTGACTGCGGGGTGGGGGTATAGAACGAGAGAAGATGAAGAGTGGACTGAGGTAGAGAGAAAGATGAGGAGGAAGAAGAATCGGGGGGCGTAGATGTTTGTAATCTGAAGGGGAGGACAAAGGTAAACGGAGATGGAATGAAACCATGCAGGGAAATCATTACTTTAATTAGAGTCTTATGTCTACTGAGCAAATTGAAAACAATGATAACAAGCAACCATGGAGGCAGCTGGACCGTCTTATTGACGTTTTGGATGCAAAAGTATAGATACCGACTGCACATTTACTGTGTCCAGACCTATACCCAAGAATGTGCTGTTACGGTAAATATAAAACATAAACTGATTTTAACCCTAAAACCTAGATGTACCGAATTTTCTCCTCATGTTTAACCCAAAGCAAGTTCTCATTGTTACCAAAATACGACATATAAAAAGGGTTTTGGTTAGAAATAGGCCAACCATTATCTAGTAAAGTCTTAAGCTTTGGCGTCTTAGTAACATTAAAAAAATCTGATATGGACTCACAGAAAAGTAAAAACCACCAAGAGAACCAGACTCTTCACATTTAAAACAAGCTTTTTTAGCGCTAGACTTTATATATGACAATTATGGTTTTGTGCTCAATCCAGTACCCTAGACATATTTTTTTATTCTTATGGAGTCTGATGCATGTGCATCTATGATGCTATCAATGGCAGCCTTGCCTTTCTTCTTGGTTGCAGACTTGCTTTACTAGCTGCAAATGTAACCCGTAATTAGTCAATTAATCAAGACTTTTATTTTTGCGGGCCCACTTCCTGTTTTGCCCTAAAATTGCCAACTTATTTAAAGCCCCGCCTCCAGTGCAGTAACACTCCTCACTCACACCTGTTCCACTGTGATTGTGGCNAAAGAACTGTTTTCTGATACTGCTTTTGTAGCCGCAGTCAGCTGCGAGGCCTATAAGTGTTACACAAACCTGTGTCAGCATGGACCTTTTTTTTTTTTATAAGAGTTGTGTACTATAGTACATCTAGTCAGTAAACCAGCTCTGTCAGTTGTCAGGAAAGTGCACAAAGTTGTGATTTCAGTCTGTATGGTAAGAAAAGGAAATCATGCAACTGGTATTTTCTAGAGGCCTATTTATTCTAACAAAAATAAAAATAAAATGCTGGTAGTAAATTAAGCTTTAAGCAAAATTTAAAATAGTCTTTAAACAGTTTACTTTACAATAAAACAATGAAATAAACAAGTTTAAAGGGGCAATATTATGTGTTTCTCTGGCATTTATTTAAATTCTATACCATAATAAACTAACTATGTCACCTTCAGTTGCTATTAAAATGCTGTTTATATGTTTAAATATAAATTAAACTTAACTTACTATCATATCTGTTTCTAAACGCCTTGAAATTGGCCTCTGTCCTAAAAAAAAAAAGAAATTGGCCTCTGTCTCTTTAAGAATCTCCTTCCTGTTCTGTCCCACCCATTTCAGCATAGGGCTGTGTGTGTGTGTGTGTGTGTGTGTGTGTGTGCTCTATGATGAGGAAGCTCAGCTTGCAGACACCGCCCATAGGAGGAGCTGGTCCCAAAAGGCGGTTCTAGTCCCAACCAGTTGTTTTTGCTCCCCTGCCTGGCTGCCTCAGGACAGCACAGGATTTGTCAAACATGCATAAATGAGTCAAAGCTAGAGTCTGGGCATGTTTTTTGATTAGATGATAACATTATAACATGTTATAAATCTCCAAAAAGTTGATTTTACATGATATTGCCTCTTTAAGTTATCCTTTTTTAATCTTTTACCCATTAGGGCACGATTATTTTTATAATCGATTAATCACCGATTATTTTTTCGATTAGTCGACTAATCGGATCATATGTTAATTGAATATAAAACATACAGCTCATCGCGCCAGAATGCAGCTCCTATTACATAACCATGGTCAGATTTTAGCTATCGGTATATGCTAACTAAAAATAATTGCTGTGGAAGGCAAGTTCTGCCTTGCAGATATTGCATTGCACAGGTTTCTCTTCATTTTCTTAAAATGATCCCAGACTTTTGAGCTCCGTTGCCGGGTAGCCATGATATCAGAGCCTGTATAATGTAGTCTGTATAATGTCTGGTGACATCCACGGCCTACTCCAGTCACCACTACTGTGCATATGTGTTAAGGACAGAAAGGCAGATGTGGCAGTGGAAGGTGTCAAAGCAGTTTGGAGAGAAAAACAAAGTAAAGAACAAAAAAATGATTAATTGATTATTAAATTAGTCATCGATTATTTTAATAATCGATTAGTCGTTGACTAATCGTGACAGCCCTATTACCCATTCCTTCTCACAGTCACTACAACAATGTGATGTCAATACAGTACTGTATATTGAGTCGTTACATTATTTTGACCCAAAGCACACTTTAAAAACACACTCTTTTGTTGGATTAACAGCAACACCTGGTCAACAACAGTGGTGTAATAAAATGCCCCACTAAACTTCAGCAGGAACCTCACTATAACATGAAAACATGCTGCCTCTTTTCTTTTTGAATGAGGTTATCAGCAGAATGGATTTCCAGGATTACACCAAATGGCTGCTAACACAATCAGCCACAGAACTGGTGACAGAAAATGCAATTCAATCCAATTGGCACAACCTCAAAATTGCATCAGTCGTATCTGAATTGGTTCCCGTGCTCTGGGGACCACCTGAGAACTATGTTGCAATCTCGTTTGAGGAGGAAAAATAATAATAAAACAAAAAAAGAAGACACATCTCCAACTGCATCCTTTAAATCAGCATTATTCTCTCACTGCTTCACGCATGGCGGCCTCTGCGCTGCAGAATCCAAATAATTATTTATTTGTCTGATAGAAAGATGAATTACACCGTAGGACTTAAATAAATTACCCTATTTAAATTTTTTTAAAGTTGTGCTGACTGTACTGTCAGCTTCTCACAAGCACCGAACAAAAGATTTTCGGTGGCCTTTTAATAACCACAGAAAGAGGAAGTGAGAGGGCATGCACAGATACAAAGGGGACCTATTACTCCTGTTTCCATGGTAACAGCTGCTTGGTTGCCTTGTCGCCACAAGAGCCAGGTCTCCCTAGGAGATGAATTTGGTGTGTGTGTCTGTGGATGTGTGTGTGGAAGCATCATTTTGCCTGCACAGCCCACACACGCCTTGATTTCTATCCTTGAAGGGCTGGAATAAAAATAGGTGGGGTCTGTTCGAACTCCACAGATGCTAAATGCTTTTTCCACCCCTCATGTAGTCGCATTAAATCCTCTGTGGTTCCTCCGTTTCAGCAGGGAGGACAGGCTGAAAGCACGTCTCAGACCGATGTGCAATCTGAGTGCATTTTTATTTCTCTGATCTGTCTGACATCTGAGTGACACAACTGTATGATTTTATTGAGTAAATTTGTTCTTTGTATTTTTAAGCCTTTTTAAAAAAATAAGCATTTCTTACATTTCTAAAATCTTGTACCATTCATTTTATAACAATGCAGATAATAAGAAAATTAGGAGATGCAAGAAAACAAATCCTGCTAAAATCCGTGTTGGCTTCTATCAAATTTGCTCAGATGTTTTAAATGTGTACCCATTCTCTCGTCCTGTCTACTCACATGCTTTTCTATATTTGCCTGTGCCTGTACATGTCTGTAAAAGAAATTTGCCAAAGGCCAGACTCTGCTGGATATGGTGTGTGGCCATCTGAACCTGCTGGAGAGAGACTACTTTGGCCTGAATTTCACCGACACAGATAGTTCTAAGGTCAGTCACACAAGAAAGCAAACAAAACAAATATATATAT